AACCTCTGTCTCCCAGGTTCAAGCGATTCTCCTGCCTCAGCCTCCTAAGTAGCTGGGACTACAGGCATGCGCTACCATGCCTGGCTAATATTTTGCGTGTTTTTAATAGAGACAGGGTTTCATCATGTTGGTCAGGCATGTCTTGAACTCCTGAGCTCAAATGATCCACCCGCCTCAGCCTCCCAAAGTGCTGGGATTACAGGTGTGAGCCATTGCGCCCAGCCAGAGATCCCATCTCTAAAAAGAAGAATATAAATTCAAAAAAACAAACAAACAAACAAACAAAAAAACTAAGGGGCTTAGTGGGGTGTGTGTGTGTGGTCCCAGCTACTCAGGAGGCTGAGGTAGGAAGATCATTTGGGCCTGGGGGGTCAAGGCTACAGAGACCCAAGATGGTGCCACTGCACTCCAGACTGGACAACAGAGCGAAACACTGCCTCAAAAAAAAAAAAAAAAAAAGACAAAGAGAAGGTATCCTCAAGTACAGCCAAGTCACAGTGCGCCGTGGGCCAGAGAAACTTGACAGCAAACAGAGATAAGCTCTGGCTGTGATCAGGGAAAGGAAGGGCCATTCACCGAGAAACACGAGGTAACTAAGGGACTGGACGAGCGGCAGGTGTGAAGAGCAACTGACAGAGTGGGGCGGGAGACAGCAGATTTATGGCGAACCAGAAGTGAGAAGCAGTATCACTAGTATTATGTTTTCTAAGATTTGAATAAGAAAGAAGAGAGCTGTTACTAAAAAAACCCAAAAACAAAAAAACCTGTTACTAAAAAGAGCAGAACCCCACATAAACTAAGAAAACAAGGATGACCCCTGTGGCTTCTGTGAGAGTGCGCTGGGCAGCAGGGCTGTGAGTCAAACGACGCACAGTGAAGACTGAGGAGACACTTACCACGAATCGACTTTGCACTTTCTCCAGAATCCTTTTTTCGTTTAGAGCCAGAGCTTCACCTTTCCTTTTCTTTATTCTTTTTTTCTGTAGCTTTTTACAGGCATACATTTTTCCCGTGGCTCGCACTTGACAGGCACAAACCTAGTTTAAATAGCAAAACGAAGGTGTATGTCCATCTGACATTTCTGAGGCCACACAAAGGAAACTCTGCTTGATGAGCCCCTCGCTGGCAGGGACCACCAGCAGGGCTTGAGGAGCTGAGACAGTTTCAAAGGCGGGCGCTGTCAGCCTGAGTCCGCTCCTCCTCTCAGTGACAGGCTGCGCTCTATCAACTCTATTTTCCCCGGGGCGCATTGGCTCACGCTTATAATCCCAGGAGAAGCACTTGAACCTGGGAGGCAGAGTTTGCAGTGAGGCGAGATGGCGCCACTGCACTCCAGCCTGGGCGACAGAGCAAGACTCTATCTCAGGATTCTCCTGCCTCAGCCCCCCGAGTAGCTGGATTACAGGCGCTTGCCATCACGCCCAGCTAATTTTTCTTGTATTTTTAATAGACATGGGGTTTTGCCATCTTGGCCAGGCTGGTCTTAAACTCCTGACCTCAGGTGATCTGCCCACCTCGGCCTCCCAAAGTGCTGGGATTAACAGGCGTGAGCCACCATGCCTGGCCTACAAAGATTCCTTTTAATTTAAAAAGTCAAGAGTATAAGGAAATATATTTAATAGAATTCACAATTTTCATATCTTTATTCTATTTACTTCTTAAAGTAGCATTTATGAATTATGTCAACTTCATGTCATGAAAAACTTTCAACAAACAAAAGTGGAAAAAGGTAGTATCGTGAGCCTCAGGTTCCAGCCCCCGCTCCTCGGGGTCATCAACATGAGGCCGCTGTTTCTTCCAGCTCCCATCCACTGCACACCCCACAGGGGACGGCTTTAAAAGCAAACATAAGACACGATGGGATTTTATCTACCAATAAAATAATTTTGATGGCAAAAAAATATAAAGCTAACTGTGGAAAATACTGGAAGTAATAAGGACAGTGATAAAAACTCACCTGCAATTCCAAGATAATGACTGCTAGTATTTTGCTATATTTGATTCTAGGTCCACGTTCCCACATGGGTATGCAAGAATATACACCCTGTTCCCCACCATCCCAGCCTTTAATGGCAAAACTGGGCTCATATTGTAAAATAGCTCATATTTGCTAACCTCCTTTAAAACTCTTATCGTGTGACTATTTTCTCACCATGAAATGCTTTCCTAAAATGTGACTATCCCAAAATTTAATTCATCATTTTCTTAAGACCTGGCATAAGAATGTCTTCATATCTCTTCACTGTTAAGACAAATTCTTCTAAGTGGAATTGGCAAATCAAAGAAAGGGAAGGGAAAGCAGACAAGAGTGCTAGGCACGGTGCTGACAGCCGGTGTGGACACCCACTGGCTCACAGAGGCCTGGCGGGTGGGCCGATTATTTCCCTGCTAGAGATGAGAGTACAATGGCAGGCCCAGGACCACACTGCTGGAGGTGGTATGATAGGACCCTGACCGTGGGTCTGCCCACGTCTGAAGTACGTGCTCTTTCCATGACAGTCTGCAGCCTAAAAACCGTGACAGCGGAGATGTCTACTCAATTCCCTGACCACTGTGCTCACTCATGAGCCTAGAAATTAACTTTGGAGGACTTCAAGCATAAGCAAAAGACAAAATAAAACCAACTATGTTTGCTCTTTCAAGCTAGCAAACGCATGGCTAGAATCTGGAGGAAAGGGCACCGAGCCATCCCCGCATCAGGGCGGCCAGGGCTCCTTCTGCCAGGCATTCAGAGAAGTGGGCTGATCGCTCACTACCTCTGGGCCTTGACTCAGAGTACAACAGCTCAGAACAAGGCTGTGGAAAGCTGCCACGTTTATCCGTGCGTCTGGTCATTTGTTTGGGAACCCAGGCAAATGTTAGAAAGTAATCTATACAATCATAATGACACTGTCTTTCTTTTGTACTTTTTAAATGTATTTATTTATATCAAATATTTAAATGAGGTCTTGCCATGTTGCCTTGGCAGGTCTGGAACTTCTGGGCTCAAGCAATCTGGCCACCTTGGCCTCCCAAAGTGCTGGGATTACAGGCGCGAGCCACCTCGCCCAGCACCAACTCATTCACAATAGTTAAAAGTTGCTAACATGTCCCCATTGCTAATAGTCCTATTAGGACTGACATGTTTTAAAAACTTACATGTGGCTATAATTAGACTTTCATTCCTTTGTAAACACATGACCCATGTTCCAGAAATTTTTCCTCTGCTCTTACAAAATCTGAGTCTTTACACTTGGAGATCATTAAGGGTAGATACGCAAGAGCCGAAGCGAGAAAGGGCTTTCCTGTTCTAGGACATATTCAAACAGTGGATTCTTTCCTTCCTTTCCTTCCCTCCCTTCCCTCCCTTCCCTCCCTCCCTCCCTTCCTTCCTTCCTTCTTTCTTTCTTTCTTTCCTTTTTTTGAGACAGAGTCTTGCTCGGTCACCAGGCTGGAGTACAGTGGCACAATCTCAGCTCACTGCAACCTCCGCCTCCTGGGTTCAAGCGATTCTCCTGCCTTGGCCTCTCGAGTAGCTGGGACCACAAGAACACGCCACCATGCCCAGCTAATTATTGTATTTTTAGTAGAGACAGGGTTTCACCATGTTGGCCAGGCTGGTCTTGATCTCTTGACCTCATTATCCTCCTGCCTCGGCCTCCCAAAGTGCTGGGATTACAGGCATGAGCCACTGCACCTGGCCAGCAGAGGACGGATTTCTTACAGAAATATCTACCGTGGAGGGATCACAGCAAGCATTTGATTGGATTAGGCAAAATAGTCCACATGGTGTCTAGAACTGTACCAGAAGGACAGTACTGTTACCTCTCCTGAAGTAATGACTACGTTGGCCAATTTCCCACCAAGTCAAGCTGCAAGTGCATAACAGATCTCAGTGGCAGGGTCCTGCCTCCTAGGTCGGCTTTCTAATTCACTTCAAGGCAATGATATTGGCTTTTGCTTTGAATTGTGATATGGCAGCAGTAATATCTGAATCATAGCCAGGCAGTGTAACCTGTCTCTGAGTTAAACATACAGTGTTAGTTTGCCAATGGCTTGCCTGGCTCTTAGGGACCTGTAAGTTCTTGAACTCTATACGATCACTCCAGGTAATTAATGAGGTAATTAGCATCTCTTTAAATGGCCAGATCAAAACTGCTGGTGTTCTCCATCCGCCTATACAGTGGTGCCCATCTAGGAAACCCACCATATTTAAGCAACACCCCTCGTGAGTCTGTGAGTCTTTTCCTTAGGATTTTCCCAAATTGACACATTTCCAAACACCTTTAGACATAGGTATGAGGTACACACATGTCCAAATAGAGAAGGGTTACGGAAGTATATTTAATAATTCACTCTGTACTGTGTGAATTTGGTGTCAGTCTTAAATTTATGGAAACAGAATCATGGAAACAAATTTACGGAAACAAATTCCATAATACAGGAACAGAATTATCTTTCCATCTGGACAGTGACTGGGCTTGAACATGAGGCATGGGAAACCAGCTCCTTCAGAACTCTGAGGCAGAAGGGGAAGTCAACACAAGAAGGTATTCGTAAAAACCTTTTGCTCAAATCTCCCCGTGAATTCTCACAGTTGCGCGCTAAGGAAGCCATGTGTTGGGAGAGTTGACGCTACCTGAAGCCAGGTTCTCAGGACCTTGCTCTCCACCCGGCTGGAAGGAGTTGACGCGTTACCTGAAGCCAGGTTCCCAGGACCTTGCTCTCCACCCAGCTGGAAGCGCTGCTCTGAACCAGTCCCCGTTACTCACCTCTCCAAATCCGCCTTTTCCTAGAACTCTGTAATGTCTAAATGTGTTCTTGGTTACGGGTCGCCTAATCAATTAGAAAAACAAGTTTCAGGTCTCACATTGCATTGTTCTTTTAAGACAGAAAAGACTACTCAGCGCTTGTCTTAGCCTCATTTATTGAACCATTCTGCTCAAAGGGGCTGCCGGGGACAAAGGGTGTGTGTGCTCAGGACTGTGGCTCCCTCTAGCAGGACAGCTCTCGACTTGCTCTAAGAGCAATTCATTAATCTTAACATCAAAGACACCGAAGCCAAAGGCAACAGTCCAATTACCCTTCCTAACTAAAGACAGGGCTGAAACCAGTTGACACTAGGAAATATGTACGTTTATAACTCAGGGTATAGTCTTAGGAAGACCTCTCTGAACCTGTCCGAAAGCAGGTGAGGAAGATGACACACAAACGTTGTGCCATCTTTTGAAAAAAGAACCTCAAAGATGTTTATACCCAACATCTCAAAAGGAGCATGTATAAGCCCGAACTGGAAATCGAATCAGTCAATAATAACAGTACTGAGAATAATACTAGCAGCAGCTGACCCTCCTCTTTTTTTTTTTGAGACAGAGTCTTGCTGTGTTGTCCCGGCTGGAGTGCAATGGCGCAATCTCAGCTCACTGCAATTGCCACCTCACAGGTTCAAGCATGTCTCCTGTCTCAGCCTCCCAAGTAGCTGGGATTACAGGCACCTGCCACCACACCCAGCTAATTTTTGTAGTTCTAGTAGAGACGGGTTTCACCATGTTGGCCAGGCTGATCTCGAACTCCCAACCTCAGGTGATCCGCCTGCCTTGGCCTCCCAAAGCGCTGGGATAACAGGCATGAGCCACCGCACCTGGCCCGCAGCTAACACTTTTGAAGTACGTATTCTGTGCACCAAACATTGTGCTATAAGCACTGCACATACATTTCTCAGGTGATCCCAGCAATGGTCCAAGGAGGCAGATTTTATAATTACCTCTAATTTACGGAACAAGGACCTGCCACTCATACAGGCTAAGCCACTTACCTGAGGCCACATAAACAGTAAGAGGCTGAGCAGGGTTCAGCTGCCAAGTCCCACCCACTGCATCCTATTAAATCACTCAAAACCTAAGCTAAGTTTTATTTTCTAGCCACTGAACCAACAGGGCTACCTGCCATTTTAAAAAGAGAGAACAGAGTGTATTAAATTAGAAGAAATTGTATAATACCTTTGAAAATTTCTATATGAAAATACCATCTACATTAGAAATACTCAAAATTTCTAATCGTATTTTGACAGATGAAAAAGTCTATGTCTATCATTATGCATTATGAGAAGTTAACACTTGTTTTATTGAGGTCTCTTTCTTTCTTAGAGATGGGGTCTTGCTACACTGGCCAGGTTGGAGTGTATTCACAGTGTTACTCACAGGCATGATCATCCTGCTCTATAGCCTTGAAACCTTGGGCGTAAGCAATCCCTCAGCCTCAGCCTCCTGAGTAGCTGGGACTGCAGGTATGTGCCACCTCAACTGGCTTTTACTGTGTTTAAAATTAGAACATACCTTTCCAGCCATTTCCATTGTAAAAACTGAGAAAAATGTGAGCTTTCTTGGTATTCTTCAAATGGTTTCCCTCTTAAGTAGTTATGGGCAATTCTAGAAAAAGATTTTATGCAATTATATACATTTGCTGCATTCAGAAGTAAAAACAAGTGTGTTTTAGTGCATTAGCAAGCACTGAATATGAGAAAGTCAATCACTACACCCAATTCCGTATTCTGAATTTGCAATTACGGATGTCCACATTAGGGTCTAATGCTGTCAGTGAAAGCAGAAGTGAAATATCATGACTGAAAAGAGCAGTGAAATAGAAGGGTGCATTCCCCTATTGGGAGCGAGGGCGTCAGCTGTTCCGTTGTCCAGCAGCATGCTCCCCATGTGCAAGGCACAGTGGAAGGGTCCCCTGGAGGACAGCACAGAGGCCAAAGGCATGGGCCACTGCAAGTCCTGCTTCAGCCACTCACTGGCTGGGGTCCTGAGCCACTTACCCAACCTCTATGGCCTCAGTTTCTCCTTCTGTAAAATAGAGATAATAGCCATGCCTATTGCATAGGGTTACTGTGAGTGGGTAAACACATTAATATGTCCAAAGCATTTATTATTGTTTTGCTATTTTGTTGTTGCTGTTTAGAGACAGGGCCTCACTCTGTTGCCCAGGCTGAGTGCAGTGGTGCATCATGGCTCACTGCAGCCTTGAACTCCTGGCGTCAAGCAATTCTCCCAGCTCAGCCTCCCAAAGCGCTGGGACTACAGGTGTGAGCCACCAAGCCTGGCCTCATTGTTGTCGTGTGATTGCTATTACATGTCTCTTAGTACACATGCACAGGAAAGTTTAGGGCATGTACATGCTCAGGAGAGGGATGCGAAGAACCAAAGTGTGGACTGAAAGATTGGCCCTTCCTGGCTTCTGTGACATCCCAGATGAAGACAGGAAGAAATCTGATTCTTACCACAATGTCCTGGACCAGTACCAGAGAGCAAAGACCATGCCTGTCCTGTCTGCCATACAAGGGAAGCAATCAAATGGAGCCTTGGAGCCAACATCTCCTTTCCGTTTTTCACTCTGGCTCTGTCACCCAGGCAGGCGGGTAGTGGTGAGGTCACAGTCACTGCAGCCTTGACCTCCCAGGCTCAATTGATCCTCCCACCTCAGTCAATTCTGAATAGCTGGGACTACAGGTATGCACCACTGTGCCTGGCTAATTTTTATATTTTTTGTAGAGACAGGGTTTTGCCATGTTGCCCAGGCTGGTCTTGAACTCCTGAGCTCACACAGTCCTTCTGCCTTGGCCTCCCAAAGTGCTGGTATTATAGGCGTGAGTCATGGCGCCCAGCCAGAGACAATATCGTTTTGCAAAGAAGTTCAAATCACAAACACCAGAATACCATTAATGTGAATATCCAACTAGAATAAGTAAAACATGACTTGAAATTTAAAATCTTTACATTTGCTCTAATCCATTTCAGAGGAGGAGGCTGAGGGCCAGCGGAAGGATTCTGGTCCAGCGACACACACCTGGGTAGGGGAAAGATGAGATGCATGGCGCTGACCATGATGTGGAACTGGTGACTGAATTTCTCACTAAAGGAATAAGCATCTAAACCACCCAGCTCCTCAGTGTGCAGAGCACCCACACCTCAAGAGGAAGCCATACAGAGAGAGAAAGCCTTGGTTTTTATTCTATTTTTATCTATTCATTATTTATTTTTGAGACAGAGTCTCCCTGTGTTGCCCAGGGTGGAGTGCAGTGGTGCGACCTCAGCCCACTGCAGCCTCCGCCTCCCGGGTTCAAGCGATTCTCTTACCTCAGCCTCCTGAGTAGCTGGGACTACAGGCACACACCACCATGCCCAACTAATTTTTGTCTTTTTTAGTAGAGATGGGGATTCTCCATGTTGGCCAGGCTGTTCTTGAACTACTGGCCTCAAGCGATGTGCCTGCCTTGGCCTCCCAAAATGCTGGAATTATAGGCGTCAGCCACTGTGCCTGGCCTGTTTTTTACTTTAAAGGCAGTCCCATCGTGAAAGCATTACAGGTTCCAGCCCAGCCCCACCACGCTCTGGCTGCACAGGCCTAGGCGTGCCACTCCCTGCCGCATGTGAGCTGCGTGAAGGCAGAAAGCCTGTCTGCTAGGTTTGCCCACGTGGCCCAAGTGCCTAGGACAGTGCTTAGCACTGAACAAGCCTTTAATAAATGATTTGTTGGAGAAATGAACTCAACTCTCTCTGGTCTGGTATTCCACTGGAAACATCAAGATAAATCTAACATAACGTTTTAAAACCTGCTTGGACATAAGAACAGGCCAGGCTTGGTGCCTCATGCCTGTAATCCTAGCACTTTGGGAGGCTGAGGCAGGTGGATCACCTGAGGTCAGGAGTTCGAGACCAGCCTGGCCAACATGGTGAAACCCCATCTGTATTAAAAATACAAAAATCAGCTGGGCGTGGTGGCAGGTACCTGTAATCCCAGCTATTTGGGAGGCTGAGGCAGGAGAATCACTTGAACCTGGGAGGCGGAGGTTGCAGTGAGCCCGATACAGCTCCACTGCACTCCAACCTGGGCAACAAGAGTGAGATTCTGTCTAAAAAAAAAAAAATCTAGGAAGAATACCTAGCACTTTACAAGTACTAGTGCATGGTCAGCAATGTAACTCCCAGTCCTGTTTCCCAGGTGGGCCCTCTCTCCCCGTCTCCTGGAACACGCCCCGGACCTCCCACCTGCCTCCCTTCAGGACTGGGCCGCACCTCTCCAGCTTGCATGGCTGTTTCACTGACATGGTCTGGTGTGTGCCCCTCCTTCCACCAGTGCAGGTCCAGCTAAGGCACCATGACCCCCAGTGGGGGCTGAGAGGAAAAGGCAGGTGTGAAAAGTAGAGGTGGCTTTGCAGGCTCTCTTCACTCTCCCGCCCTGCTCTTCGGTTCTCACTCTGCCCACATTACCTGGACCTGGCCTCCACTGCCACAGCCTTCACCACACCCAGACAGAGGTGACAGCTCCCACGTCCAACCTCCCATGGCCTCCCACAGACAGTACAGGTCTCCTTGCTGCCAGCCCCAAGTGTCTCTAAAGTCCACTTGCTTATGTCCGTCATCAGTGTCATTTCCTAGTCCAGGTCACCATGTCTCACCTGAACATCCACAACAGCCTCTATGGCTGATCTCCTGGACCCCGTCTTCCTTCTCTTCACCCTCGAAATTGTAGCCAGAGCAATCTTTTAAAACTCAATGAATGTGTCGTTGAATTGCTCTCAGAGCAAAGAACAAACTTGTTCATGGCTCCGTGGGCCTCAGTTTCCTCCCTGTGACATGAGCGCCTATCTGCATACACACACAAAGCACTACAGATTCGGGCCTGATCGCCTCAGAAACCGTTCTTTCATCCCACATATGTAAAGAAACTGAATTTAGCCAAAGGGCTTTGCCTTGAAATTTTCCTTGCAAAGGTCCAGAAAAAAGATAGTTTTTGAGTGCCTAGGTCTGAATAAAAAGCATTTTATTGGAATCTTTTCCTCCTAGACACGGGCAGAGCAGAGAGGGCCTGGAGCCACCACCGGGATGCTGGGATGCTGGTGCTAAACAATGGGACCCCTTTCAGTGGGCCACGTGTGTGCGTGGAGCTGCTACTCTTCGCTCACCTCTTTCTAGAGAAAGTAATTGCTTTAATGTGTAAAGTCAACTGACCCTTGAACAACGCGGTTGAGCTGCGAGCAGCCACTTACGCGGGAATTATCTTCCACCCCTGAGACGCCAAGACCAACCCTCCTCTTCCTCCTCAGCCTGCTCAGTGTGGAGATGATGAGGATGAAGAGCCTTTACGATGATCCACTTCCACTTCATGAATAGGAATTATATTTTCCCTTCCTCATGATTTTCTTAATAACACTTTCTCTTTTTTGTATTCTTTTTATTTATTTTTACACTTTCTTTTTTTTAGCATACTTTATTGTAAGAGTATAGCATGTATTACATAGAACATACAAAATATGTGTTAATCGGCTGCTCATGTTATCAGGAACGCTTCTGGTCAATGGTCGGCTAACAGGAGTCAAGCTTTTGGGGCAGTCAAAAATTACACACAGATTATCAACTACGCAGAGGGTTGGGGGGGGTCAGGGTTCCTAATACCCACGTTGTTCATGGGTCAACTACACTCTGCTAAGAACTTGTCTTATGCAGTGAGCCTCCTGTAAGCTGTCTGCCTTGGGGTTGGTACAGATAACACAGTCAGGGCTCAGCATGAACCACTTACCTAGTACATTCCTCAAAGACTTTTTTGGAAGGGTTCTCCTCCTTCAGTCCCAATCTACATTTTCTCACAACATCTGGAGGTATTTCTGGCAAAGGGGCTGCCAACTTAACACAGTGCAAACCAAATACATAATTATTAGTGACTTCACAACTTACTGGTAAACAGAACCTAATGCTTATCGTGAAAAAGTAAAACCAAAGTGTACAAAATGAAAGTCAAAGTGCCACCTGCGCCCTCCACCCCAGCCCCGCTCTCCAGAGTTCTGCTGTTGTCTGTCTTTTCAGCTCTTCTCCGACACATATCAAAACACATCCAAGGCCAGGCACGGTGGCTCACGCCTGTAACCCCAGCACAGTGAGAGGCTGAGCTGGGCAGATCACCTGAGATCAGGAGTTTGAGACCAGCCTGGCCAACATGGTGAAACTCCGTCTCTACTAAAAATACAAAATCTTAGCCAGGTGTGGTGGTGGACGCCTGTAATCCCACCTACTCTGGAGGCTGAGACAAGGGAATCCCCTGAACCTGGGAGGCAGAAGTTGCAGTGAGCTGAGATCACGCCACTGCACTCCAGCCTGGGCGACAAGAGCGAAACTCCGTCTCAAAACCAAACCAAACCAAAACACACACACACCCAGAATGGAAAGCAGGGTCTCAGAGAGGTATCTGCATACCCATGTTCACTGCAGCATGATTCACTGTAGCCAAAAGTGGAAACCACCCAGGCGTCTGTGGATGAATGGATAAATAAAATGCAGTATATGCATACAGTGAAATATTGTTCAGCCTTTTAAAAAAAGGAAATTCTGAAACACGCTACAACTTGGATAAACCTTTTAGACATTATGTTAAGTGAAATAAGCCAGTCACGGTCGGGCGCGGTGGCTCACACCTGTAATCCCAGCACTTTGTGAAGCAAAGGTGTGTGGATCAGTTGAGGTCAGGAGCTCGAGACCAGCTTGGCCAACATGGTGAAACCCCGTCTTTACTAAAAATACAAAAATTAGCAGGGCATGGTGGTGGGCACCTGTAATCCCAGCTACTCAGGAGGCTCAGGCAGGAGAATCGCTTGAAGCCAGGAGGCAGAGGTTGCAGTGAGCCAAGATGGCGCCATTTCACTCCAGCCTGGGCAACAGAGCGAAACACTGTCTAAAAAAGAAGAAGAAGAAAGAAGAAAGAAGGCAGAAGGAAGAAGAAGAAATAAACCAGTCGCAAAGTGACAAATCCTGTATGATTCCACTTACAGATGGTCCCTAGAGTAGTCAAATTCATAGCGACATAAAGTAGAATGGTGGCTGGAGAGAACTGGGAATTGTTACTGGCTGCAGAGTTTCAGTTTTGTAAGATGAAAAGGCTCTGGAGATCGGCTGCATAACAATGTGAATGTATTTAACACTACTGAAGTGCATACTTAGAAATGGTGACGGTGGTGACCTTCATGTTACGTGTTTTTTATCACAAAAATTAAAAATCACACACGCATGCGCGCACACGCACACACACACACACACACACACACCCCTCTCTCTTCAGATATATAGTTTCTTTTTCCTTATGCAAAGGGGAAAAATATACGTAGAGTTTCGTGGGGTTTTCTGAGACAGAAAATCTCGGCTCATTGTAGCCTCGTCCTCCTGGGCTCATGCAACCCTCCCACCTCCATCTCCCAAGTAGCTGGGACTATGGGTGCATGCCACCACAGCTGGCTAATTTCTTTGAGATGGAGTCTGTTCTGTGGCCCAGGCTGGAGTGTAGTGGCACAATCTTGGCTCACTGCAGCCTCCGGCACCTGGGTTCAAGCGATTCTCCTGCCTCAGCCTCCCAAGTAGCTGGGATTACAGGTGTCCGCCACCACACCCAGCTAATTTTGAACTCCTGACCTCAAGTGATCCTTTGGAAGGCCTCAGACTTCCTGTACCTGGCTAATTTTTGTATTTTTTGTGGAGACAGTGTTTCAGCATGTTGCCCAGGCAGGTCTTAAACTTCTGATCGCAATCAATCTGCCCATTGGGGCGTACAAAAGTGCTAGGATTACAGGCACGTGCCACTGTGCCCAGCCTATGTCTAGTGTTTAAAGTATGTGCTAACGTCTATAGAGCTACCCCATTTTCCTGAGTGACTGCAAGGTTTTCTGGTGTGAGTTCATCTGTCCCCAGTTACATCCCAGTTGCCAATTTTCCCACAGCAAACAGCACCACCATGAACGTCTTTGTATTTCCATAGGGGAGATTCCTAAGAACAGAAGTACCAGCCCAAAAGATCCACGCATTTCAAACGTTCATATCTATTGTGAAACTATCCTCCAGCAAGGCTCTGGCAGTCCGTCCTCCCACTCACGGTGTTCCTAGGTGCACAGCCCCGTTCTCTTTAACCCTCACCCAGGGAATTCCAGGCAAAGAAAACACGTGATAAACCACTGTCTGGATCATGCCCAGCTGTCCACCTCATGTGTCATTAAAACAGGATATGCATCCCAGACTGAGTTTTGCCTGTGACAGAGCCAAGCCACCAGAGCAAATCTGCATTTCTAATAAATCATCTCCTAAAGTAAGTTGAAAGTGAACAATGAGAAAACTCACATTAAAAAAAATCAACAATATTGTTATAATTAATCATGATTAGTAGCTACCATTTAAATTATCTAACACATTTGAGGCATTTAAATATATATGGTCTCGGCTGGGTGCGGTGGTGGCTCATGCCTGTAATCCCAGCACTTTGGGAGACTGAGGAGGGTGGATCACCTGAGGTTAGGAGTTCGAAACCAGCCTTGCCAACATGGTGAAATCCTGTGTCTACTCAAATACAAAAATTAGCCAGGCATGGCGACGGGCACCGGTAATCTCAGCTATTCAGGAAGCTGAGGCAGGAGAATCGCTTGAACCCAGATTATCCCAATAATCCGGGTTTGGGATAATCTGGGTTCAAGCGATTCTCCTGCCTCAGCCTCCTGAATAATTGGGAGGCGGAGGTTGCAGTGAGCCAAGATCATGCTACTACACTCCAGCCCGGGTGACAACAGCAAAACTCGGTCTAATATATATACATATACGGTCTCATTTCGCCCCACAACCACCACCCTGATGGGTGAGGAGAGGCCTGGGAAATCCCTCTCCAGCGCACACACATCAACAAGGGGAGCGCCGAGCCCAAACCCCACACGCCCTGCTGGCCTCTCCAGTCACTTCTTTCTATGCAGCAAGGCTGTGGTAAGGGTAAGATGGGTCCATTCATTTTCCTATTTAAGAAATGAAGTTTGTTCACTCATTTGCTCAACGAGTATGCATTGTTCCAGGCACTGGACACAGCAGAAAACAAGACAAAATGTTCTCAGAAGACAAAGACAGTATTTTAAAAGTCTTATTTCCCCTCCAAAGGTCTCAGTTTTTCTGAAACTAAGTAGCAGGTAGATTCTACAAAAACTGTTGGCTGGGCGCGGTAGCTCATGCCTGTAATCCCAGCCGTTTGTGAGGCTAAGGCAGGCGGATCACAAGGTCAAGAGATTGAGACCATCCTGGCCAACATGGTGAAACCCCAACTCTACCAAAAACACAAAAATTAGCTGGGTGCGGTGGCACACACCTGTAGTCCCAGCTACTCAGGAGGCTGAGGCAGGAGAATCGCTTGAACCCGGGAGGCGGAGGTTGCAGTGAACTGAGATCGCGCCACTGCACTCCAGCCTGGTGCCAAAAAGAAAAAAAAAAGAAAAAGACTCTTCTGTGATTAACTCCAAATAGTGTTCCCATTTTCAATCTCATAGAAAAGTTGTATAGTAATAGTTATTTATTCCCACACAAAGGAAAAAGCGGTGTTTCTAATATCCATGAGAGAGAGGGAGGTAAGCTAAGGTGACCTGAAGTGTGGCGAGGTAAGGTACAGAACTACCAGCCTAATGCAGAACTGACACTTCCGGGCCTTTCAATTAAGGAAAGATAATGGTTTTTCAGAATAAGTAGTTACCAGGGCAAATTTACCAAATGACTCAGTGCTGTGCTTTTTAAAATTTTTATGGAGAGGAAACTCTAATGGGAAAGACCAGTGGTGGAGAGGGGAGGGTGGATTTTGCAGAAATATGCTTATTTTTCTGTGTTGAAAATTACATTTACTTTCCTATTTTAAAAAATTAGGTCATCTTTTTATTGTTGTGTTCTAAGAGTTCTTTATACATTCTGGATACTAGACCCTTACCAATATTTGATTTACAAATACTGTTCCCCATTCTGTGGGCCATGTTTTCAGTTCTGATAGTGTTCTCTGAAGCATAGAGTTCTCAATTCTGATGAAGTTCAGTTTATCTATTTTTTCTCTTGTTGCTTGTGCTTTCGGTGTCATATCTAAGAAATCACTGACTAATTTCAGGTATTGACGATTTATACCTACGCTTTCCTCTAAGAGTTGTATAGTTTTAGCTCTTATATTTAGGTCTTTGATACATTCGGCATTCATGTTTTGTTTATGGAATGAGGTAGGGGTTCGATGTGATTCTCTGCATGTGGCTGTCCAGCTGTTCCAGCACCATTTGTTGAAAAGACTACTCTGTCTCCCAGTCGAATTGTCTTGGCATCCTTGTGATAAGGCAATTAATCGACTGTTAATGTGTTATGGTTTGAATGTGTGCCCCAAAGTTCATGTGTCGGTAACTTTTTTTTTTTTTTTTTTTTAGACGAAGTCATGCGCTCTCACCCAGGCTGGAGTGCAGCGGTGCAATCTCAGTTCACTGCAACCTCTGCCTGCCGGGTTCAAGCAATTCTCCTGCCTCAGCCTCCCAAGTGGCTGGGACTACAGACATATGCCACCATGCCTGACTAATTTTTTGTATTTATAGTAGAGACGGGGTTTCATCGTGTTAGCCAGGATAGTCTCCATCTCCTGACCTCATGATCCGCCCGCCTCCGCCTTCCAAAGCGCTGGGATTACAGATGTGAGCCATTGCACCCAGCATGTTGGTAAGTTAATTCCCAGCACAATGTTGAGAGGTGGGACCTTTAAAAGGCAATTAGATCATGAGGGCTCTGCCCCTCATAAATGGATTCATGCTGCTACCTCAGGATTGGTTTAGTTATTGTTAAGGTAGGTTCCTGATAAAAAGCTAAGCTCAGCCCCTTCC